TGTGGGAGTAGAACACCGGATTCCATGTAGCTCACATGGTCTATGTCGGTTAATGTTAATATCCCTATGTTTCAAGAAAATGATCTAATGTATGAATATGACTTATGTAAATGACTTATGAACTCTAACTAGGATTACTTGGGGGATACTACTTAGTATAGGTGAGGGTATGGGACTTTACCTATGCATTGTACAAGTGGTTCTTTTGAGGAGTTCTTGTGGGAGTCCTTTATATATGGTAAGGTATGAAATATGTTAAGGTTGGTTCCACCTGTTGTGATGATAAGTATGTATGTGACTACACTTATGTCTTCTTGATGGCTTACTTAGTATATATGGGGGTATGGGACTTCATATGTACATTGCACAAGTGAACTTGAAAGGGGATAATGGGTGGTGTCTTATGATGGTATGATGTAAATGGAACTCCAATGTGTAAAATATATGTTATAGCATTCTTGTTATGATCATAAATGTCTCTTTACCTTGTAATATGGATTGGCTAAATGTTCCTTGAATGTGCCTTATGGCTTTTAACTTGAAATAACATGTTTTCAACTAAAGGTCCCTTTTTATGCATGATTTAAATGGTTTTAATTGCATGGCTTCCATACTTGGTACAATTGATTGTGCTAACCCATATTTCTTCTTTTTTTACTAAGTGTAGATTCCGGGAAGTGATTGTGCTACTAAGAGATTCAAGCTTGGATTTAGCCTTTCTCCAAGACTTTTTGGTATGTCCTCAAGTTCCGAGGACACACATTATGACACTTGTGTTCCTTATATTGTAATAGACTATTAGACTTCTTATGTACTTGTCATTTTGAGACAATTCTATTGTAAAGGGCTATGGTCCCTATTTGAGATTCTTATGTGTACTTAGATGGTTTCATTGAGATGATGATGTCTAGACATTCTATTTTCTATTTTCTATTATGAGACACTTTGACATTGATGTTTGAAAAGTTTTTAAATTTCCTCATTATTCAATGTCTATATACAATGACGAATATGCTAAGGGCTTGTATAAGACCCCTTCGGGGTCAAGTACACCGTGTCACGCCTAGGGGGTGCTCTCGGGGCGTGACAATTGACCATTTCTTCCAAATAAAATTTATTTATTCCTCTCAAATCTCCTGTTGAGGTGAGTTGTGGCATATTTCCAACCATACATGGATATGTTTTTATTCATATTTTTTCCTTCATATTTTGACACATTCACTTTCAGAATGGTCGAACATTCATCGTGTTTATCACAAGTCACATTCTCTTTAAGGAATGAACTAATCATGTGCTTCATAAATTTGATTATAAGCTCATTGTCATGTCCTTAAAAATTTTATCTTTTTTGCATGACATACCTTAACGTCACTTTTGAAAAGTCAAGTGTACCACCACTTTATCTTCCTTTCTTTTGATGGTAGCTTTATAAAGTTATCAAATTATTAGGTCGACAAAAACCACAGGTTCAATGACCTTTCATACCATTTTGATGATAAAAATTACCTTCACATTTTGAAGGACCATTTGGCGAACCCATATTGTTCTTCCTTTTATAATTACCACAATGATGACTATTATAATTCCATCCCTCCACGCCCTTATTCATATCGTTAATCATTTGTCATCTTTCAAACTAATTATTCACTGCTACACCATTCATACGATAGAATGGAGCAAGTCGACAAGCGGATTTCAAAGTTATCATATGTTGCTACCACATTCTTTTCAAGGAATGGAGCAAATTCAATGGGACGAATTTTGAGACTTTTCATTAAAAATATACTATTTTTACCGTAGTCATCATTTTATCATCATTATGGTGCATTAGAACTTAAATCCAACGTCTTCTCCATATAAAGTCATCTTAGGTCATAAATCTATGAGATTGGACCCAATACCTTATCATCATGGTGCATCAAAACTCAAAGTGATGTCTTACCCTCTTGGTGTGATAGAACTTGAATCTATCGTCTTATCCTCAAATATTTTTTCATTATGTGCATCCTGACTTTAACTTGATGTCGTACACTTTTGGTGCGATAGGACATGAATCCATCATCTTACCCTTCAATCAATGTCATATAAGTCAATACCAATAGAACTCATCCATGAGCCTTTTTAAAAAAAAAACAAGAATTATAGAAGCAAATTTAGTCAAAATAAGACCGAGAGTTTTCTCACCTCTAGTAATTATAAATATTAATAAGTTCCTCATAATTAACACTTAGAAAATCAACATGAAAATTTACTTCTTTATCCTTCAATTCTTTTCTAAAACGAAGAACTGTTAGTATGATCATAAACCAATGTATAAAATTGTTAAAGTAAAACAAACCAATATGTTCTACCTTTTCATATAATACATATATACTAAAATAAATTATTAGTATAAGAGGAACTTTTGAAAATATTAATGTGTAACAAGAAAAAATAAATAGAACCTGTTCTTGCTCACAAGTGTTTCAACTACAACACTTTTGCGAAGTACTACAATTTTTAGAGCATATTCGTGTTGATAACGTGTTATAAAAATATAAGCTCAGAATAATATAATATAAAAGAGAAGAAGACAAAGATATAGAGATGAAGAAGAGGACTTTTCTTCTTATTCAAGTGTGTCTTACATGGAGAATGATACCTCTATTTATAAGTAGAGAAATCACTTCAAAAGCCACTTTGATGAATGTCAAATTAATAGATACATCATTATTCCATAAAGGTTCATGTCACCTTGGGAACACACATATCCATGATAAGGATAAATCTTGGGAATACATATCTATGATAAGGATAAGTTCATGAATAAACTTAATGGACCATCCACTTAGTTCAATGGATTTATAACACTAATTAACTAATAGTCCATTTATTTTGAGTTATAAATTTTAAGCAACCCAATTATCTATATCACCATAAAGTTTCTCAACTTTTCATTTTTAAAAATAATTTAAGTTATAGATTTCAATTTAAATCTAAAATATTAGTATTAAAATTAGAAATTTACCACAATTAATATAACTTTTCAAGTTTGAAAATCTGAAACCGTAAATAACTATTTTTCTATTTAAACTTTTTAATTATCTTATCCTTCTTCAAACTATATAATCATTCATTGAATTCACCCTTCAATAGTGCTTTCAATTTCCTTCCATATTTTCTCATTCTATTCCAAGGATACCAAAGGCCTAGAAGAGCCACCAGAAAAGAAGCCAACAAATGAGAATTAGAGGACCACCATAGCCAAGAAAGCTTTGTCGGAGGATAAAAAGAAGGTCGAAATTGAAGTGCAAATTGTGCTTTTTGAGAGTGATCAGAGACACACATAGAAGTGAAACTTGATTCTTCACAAATACTATACCACTGTAAAATGGATCTGGATATAATTGAAAATATTCTTAAAAAAATTCGTATTTTATCTCTTAATTCCTTCCATAGACTATTGTCACTAGGAAGTACACACATGCTTCTACCTCCTAATGTGTCAATTTATATGAAAATAAAAATGTGTAGCTTCATTAATGAAGCTAACGGAGTATACTTGTTATAATTGTGGAAAATTAG